GTTTTAATGTAATTCAGAAACACTGTGTGACATGCACAGAAAGGAATTTAAAGAGTGTACCTGTAGTTATAGGATTAAGTAACACTTGGAACCATTAGTTGATAACAGGAAATCCTGTTAAAACACTAGGCAAATATAGTGTCCAGTTGAACAGATGAAAGTAGGAGATTTAGATCTGGTACACTCATTTTACATCTGTAAGAAGATAGACTTAAAAACAGATGTATATTAGGGCAGGATTTCTTGTGAGATTATGACATTGAAATATCCATTACCAAAAAAGCTAAACTGTGCATAGAAATGGAGACCTTCAATTTTGAAGGAATCATACCTTCAGACTTATGTGCAAGAGTTGCAAAAAATGATACTTTCTTGCTGACTAAGGCTGATAGTAAGATGCCTATCAATAGCATTAGTGAGGCTAAAGATCAAAAGTTGAAACATAAAAGCACTGATACTCCTAAGTGCAGTGATAAACAACAAAGTTAGCATTGTAATAGAAATAAGTGTTTGAAGAGTAATCCAATAGGGTGGAATAGACAAAGTCCCTAAGCCTAGTGACAGTACTTGCAGCAGTACCAGCTGTAGTAGTAATAGCAACAGTGTAAGTGAAGAAGTTAAAATGAATAATCATAGGGTGATGCAAAATATAATAGGAAAAGAAAAACTTAAACAGGTAAGTAACTATACAGACTACTCAGATGACTCTATGCCTCACATCAACAACAGAGCATCCCGATAGGAAAGTCTGATAGAAAGAGTAACTGTAAGGCTAGTTAGAGTAACAAAGATATTGTGAGAAGCCATGTTATTATAGAGGCTAAAGTAGATGAGTTTAAGCATGATGAAATTTTAGCTGAGTCTATAGAGATAGATGAAGTACGAGGTTATATAGCTGCTTGTATTAGCAAAGTGTCTGAGAGAGAGACACAGTGCCCATAAATGTGTTGAATGTGAATGAGAATAACATAATAATGCTTAAGTTATTAAGCATGTAGCAGTAGGTAAGGCTAGCAGTAGCAAGAAAATAGCTGTAGTGAGACAAAAGAATGCAGAAAAATAATATAGAATGGGCTCAAAGGAATAGGATAGACTGGGATTCAATCTTAGTAGATGTAGAGAAGAAACATAAAGAAGAGTTTATCAGAGAAATATAGATATATATTCATAGGAGGAGATGATTCTTATGGCTGTACAAATAAGGAAAACAAAAGATAGTGTTAAATAACAATAGGCCTATAGCACAGCAACTCTATAGAATGTCAAAGAAGCATAGAGTTGTGTTAAAAGTATGTGTAAAAAGAGATGCTTGAACAAAAAGAAATAGAGGACAGTAGTAGTCCATATGCATCTCTAGTTGTATAAGTTCCTACAAAGAATGGTCATTTAAGGTTCTGCATTGACATTAGGAAGACATTTAAAAAGAAAGGTTGAATAAATAAGGCAATGAAAGTATCTAATGCTAACATTCCAGTGAGATGACCAACTAAGGATATGAAAAACTCAAAGTAAAGTACACAAGTTACATGGAAAATACATTCCACACTGTAACATAAGTATATTTTAGTAGTTCTTCTTATCAGTATTGAATAGATGCGATTCCATTACAGAATATAACAAATGTTTATTATATTGCCAGAGCTAGAGGAAGTGGATTGAAAAAATCGAATAACAAAACTTTGATGAGAAGCAACAAGTGGAAAAAAATATTTAAAAAAATACCGACATTAATCAGTTTCTATCCATACATTTGGAGTTAGTGGGTTTAGATACCTATTCCCATATCAACAACCCAATTAACAAGTAGTTATGATTCTTAAGACCCAAAAAGTACCAATTGGGTCAAAAGAATCATGTGCAGAATTGAGCAACCTGAGCTTATTGATAAGCTGCAATTTTACCAATTAACCCTACCAACACGGGTCTTCCTATGGTCACGAGTCAAAGGCCATGTCATCGTGTTTTTAGACTCACATACAAAATTTTATTGAACTACTATTTTATGAATGTGTGTCACTAAGTTTGGTATCAAATTGTAGATTATAATTCAAATTTTAGTATTATATATTAGTTAATTTTTTAATTTAAAAGTAAATATAAAACAAAATCACCTCAATATTGATTTTGGAACAAAGAATTTAGCAATTTTGGTGTTGGGTTATTTCAAAATAGTTTCAGAACTCTCAATATCGATAAATACTTGAATATATTGTATTAAACATATTTTGTATTACAATAACCAGTCTCTTAGTGAATGTAAATCTCTCAAGTTTGTAGCTTATGCTTAACCTGATGATAAATAAATTCATTTGTAACATGTGTAAAGTCCACCTAAAACATCCATACCTACTGGCCACCTGCTACATGAGAGAACTTTTCATAAAGGAAAAAAAGAAGAGTGGAGATCCATCAATATCAAAACTTCACGATATGAAGATACAAGGAAGATGATTAAGCCTACCCCATATGAGAATCAAGAAAACTCCTGGGAAGGAGAAGAAGATGCAGAGGATTGTAGGGAAGAGAAAAAGTGAGAGGACAAGGAGGGAGAGAGAAGAGGTGGAGTATGAAAAGAAGGGACAGACCTTAAAAAAGATCTTGCAAAACCCAATGGTCACTGGTGAAGGGACACTACAGGTGGGAAAAGGCAGGCACTACAAGTTCCAAAGCCAAGAATCAGCTCCAATAATGAGTAACTACTAAATCTCAATAGGAGAGAGAACAACAAACAGAAGTGTTAGGATGAAGAACAGGAGAGGAGGGTAAGCCCATGGGAATCCCGAGGTATGGTAGCCAACAGGGGTATTCATGGTCTAGTGAGATGGGAAACCAAGGAATTGAAGGAACATAGCTGAAAAGCAGCTCAAGCCCAAGAGTCCAAGGAATTGGGAACATCCCCAAAGATTGATGCATTGAGAAAAAAAGAAAAGACTTAGAGAAAGGGAGATGGACACCCAAAAAGAGAGCATCCAGATTAATGAGATTCCAAGAACAGAGAACCAAGTCAAGACAGAGGAAAAAGAAAAAGTACAAGTCAAAGAGGCAAACAACTAAGAACAGATTTCCCTATCAAAGGTTATGATGAAAAGCCACAGTGAGGAGGTAAATGGTGGAGATACAGCAAAGGAGCAAAGATGAAGATAAGCAGAAAAGAAAGACAAAGAAGAAAGAGATAGAAAGGACAGATAGAAGTGACACAGAGATTGGGGTTCAAGAAATACAAAAGAGCCATGACCTCAAGCCATAGCAAGAGAGTTAGGAAGACATGGAAAACAAATAAGATCAAAGTGGAGTAAAGCAACCCAAGTAATTATGATGTACAGGTGAAAGAGATGGAAAGCCACATATCTGAGTTATAAGCATAACAAGCTGAAACGAAGAAGGTACATGCACTCATCTGGCAGAGAAGAGCCACAAACAAAGGCTAGAGGTGAAAGAGCTGGCCAAAATCATCCCCACACAAGACAGGCTCCACAGAATGCAATGAAACAGAACAAGGGAAATTAACTTGAGAATAAATAGGCAGAAGGGAACCTACCACCTGATGCATGATAGCAGTAACAATATGTTTGAAGAACATCAACACTGAACATGGTGTCATACCATGGTTCATCACAGCTTTATGATCATGGTAGTTTAATATTTCTATGATATTTATAATACGTCACCATGGATTGAAATCCGAGACCTTTCACTTGCTCTACTAAATGAACTGATGGGATAACCATTGAACATCAGCTCCACAAACAGATAAGGCACCTCCAATCACTGTTGACTTTGTTGGAGAAAATGACTGAAGAGGAATGTCCGGGCCTCAAGATGTTTTTTTTTATGCATTTGCTGTTGGAAACAGCAAAGAAAAAATAAGGTGGCTAGACAAAATGGAGTTTTAATTAGTTGGATAGAATTAAAGTGCAAAATGGACAAAAGTAATGTAGTATTAAATAGAAAAAGGCAATGTGACTAGAAAATCAAAAATCACTGGAAAAAACATGCTTAAATATGTGCTGAGGAAAAAATGTGCTAATGCTTACAAGGATTACTACATATGGAGTTTGTGTCACCCTTCTATTGGTGGAGAACTACAGCATTATGACAATCATGACAAAGATTGGCACAACACATGCAGACATATGTAGAGGTAGAAGTTTGTTAAAGGGTTGTGACATGTACAGAAAGTTCCATGGCAGTTGTACATGAGGTAACAGCTCTTAGTGGTGCAGAGAGGTAAGTAACATTTTAGAATTTAAATTCAAATATTTCTATGTCTAGTGCAGCAAAACCCTAAGACTGTCACTGCATTTGATTTCAAAAGAGTAATTAAGGATATGAATTACACTTAATTTAAAGAAAATATGTTTTTAAACAGAGAGAGAAAAGAAAGGATGACACTTTCTAAAAAGTGCTCATTTTTAATTGGATTTAAACTACAAACATTGTTATAAGTATATAATTATAACTTTGAACTTTAACATTTAAATTATCTGTTTGTAGGAGGAGCACGATGAATACTTATCAAGTCAACACAGTGAAAGGAATATTGCTAAAAAATGAAAACTGAAAAGTTCTAATAACGTATTATTTCTGAGACACAATGTTTGAGGACAGATTGTAACTACATCATCCAAAAATATTACATCTTAATTTGTAAAAGAAAGAAATGATAATTTTTGGGAAATTTTACATTGATTCTATTTTACAAAATATTCTTTTGGTTATTACAGTAAATCATAATTAGCCAAACTACTGAACTGAAACAGAATTATGGCATTGTTAATCTGGATGTGAACTGCAATATTTTTTACCTGTGCAACAAAACCATACTTTCCTGGTAGTACTTTTGTCTCAAGTTTATCTAGATGATACCTAAAGTATTTCTTCTTCATTGCAGCTTCCCACTTTCTCTGTAGTACTTGGTCAAACTGCAAAAACAAAACAACAAAATGCATTTAATTAAACACAAGCAGTCACTCACATTGAAACTAAACCTAAAGCATTCTTTCTCAATTTAAGCTTCCCACTTTATCTGTAGTACTTTTACAAATTGCAAAAATAAAACAAAATACATTTAAAAAATAGTAATCATTTACATTCAAACAAAACTTAAAGGATTTCTTCTCCACTAAAGTGTTAATATTTTCCTTACCTGAAAATGTATTTCCAATAGATACTTACCTCTCTGCACAAAGTAGCTATTATTCGAGCACCTGCCTTTTGAGATTTTGTGCATGTCACTAGCCTTGAGCTATATCTCACCTAAAATGTGTTATAAATAATGTGAACTGCACCTATGCATGATGTAATTATCATGCAGCAATAGCCCTTCACCAATAGGAGGGCAACATATCCTTTATGTGCAATAGCACGTTTCCTCAAAATTAATTTCAGAAGGATGGGAAGAGTATTTATAAGAAATACATTTTTAAGTAAAGAAAATGTCAACTTCCAAATTGATATGCTTATATCTCTCTACACACAGTAAATAGAATCCCACAATGATGTGATGGAGGAGGCAGTGTAATTGTTAAAACCTAGATGAGCTTCATTCAGAAAAGTGGACTGAATGAGAAATCCCATGGAATGTGACACCTTAAACTGGGAGATTACTAGAGGGGTAACATTTGTAACGTAGATGGCCAAAATCAATGGAAAATATATTAGAAAAAAGGTACAATCTCCTTCCCAAACCACCCATGTCTTACGAAGAAATGAGTGATCAGAGAATAAAACCATGGAAGATTTGTGAAACAAAGGACAAAAGGCATCCATTAAAGATCAGATCCATGACAACCACTAGAAAGAAGGTATAAGAAGCAAGTGCCCAAGGGTTCACACTAGGCCTGGGTATGAGCTAGAACCACATCAATGCTCCAGTTGGGCAATGAACTGGACAAGGAAAATGATGAGTTTGGAAGGACCAAAACAAAGGGGAAAGACAGAACAATAGCAAAATCTGCAAAAGGTAAATGATAATAACCTGCATTGGTTGAACAACCAAATAAAAAAATAATAGGGCAGCCTGGTGGTAGAGAGCAGAGACTGGACCAGACACAGAGAGTCAAAGGGTAACACGAAAGGGATAAAAGAAGGGCTACATGGTCAGGAAAAACTGACTGATGAGAAAGGGGCTGGACAAATCCCACATGTAATGATGATGGGATGACACTTCTGGATGAAAGAAAGACATATTAGGTTGAAGCATGAGTGACTGTGATGGAGGAAGAGGTGCCCTAGATACCAGTTGGTGAAGAAGAAGAAACCAAGACAGCTATAAAAGTGCTACCAACAGGACCAGACAAAAAGTGTCACAAATCAGTGCCAAGACACATGGAAAAAAGCAAAGACGAGGGTAGACATACAAAGAGATGAGACCATCCCTAGCTAAGGGCATCCACAGCCAGAATAGATGGGTGAGATATCAGAGATAAAAAAAGGGAGGAGTTTAGTATTGAGAGGAGAGGCAAAAGCATTGATTATTGGCATGCCCAACTGGGAACAAATCCAAAAAAATACTTAGGAATGGAGTAAACTCTCCATGGGAAGAATCCTGTCCAGTAGAGAGAGTCAATCTGCCACCACGCCCAAAGCCCTCAGGACATGACACATTGTCAGATAAACTTAATATGACTGGGCCCAAAACCAAAAATCCAATGTGTAGGAGAAAAGATAGAAAAGATCCCTAGAGCAAGTCCTATCCTGATGACTAATATGGGAAACAAACATATAATTGTTGGAGTGGATCATAACCAAGTGATTCCCAAGACAAAGTAGGAAATATAAACATGCCTTATGGTTGGCCAAAAGTTCCAGAACATTGATGTTGAGTATATGTTCCACAAGAGACCAAATCTGAGGCTGTAGAGTCTTCCAGTGATATGTCACAACACATAAGAGATGCATTCATGAAGAGATAGAAATCCTGACAGAGATCAGCAGTGGTATATTGACCATAGTTTTGGCATGATCTAGCCACCAAAACAGATCCTCAAGAAAAGAATGCAGCAGCATAACAAGAGAGGACTGAGAATTCTGGGAGCTTTTCCACTGGTTACACAAAGTCAATTGAAAAAGCCTCATGTAAGCCTGGCCTAGAGGGACATGATGTCTTAGAGACCCAAAAGTCCTCAAAAGAGATAGAACCTCTCATGCAGGAAGTATAGAAGAGGCAAGAGTTGGCTTAGATACTCCATCCTACAGATAAATGGGGGAAGGCTGAACCTGCCAGAGATGAGAATTGAAAAGAGGTCTCCAACTTGGACCAAGTATTGAATCTTAGGCAGGAATGACTTAGAAAACTTTACCAGCTAACCCAGATAATTAGGGGATGGCAAAAAACGGTGAAGGGATAAGAAACAGAAAGAGAGAGAGGTGGAGGATTCATGGGTCAAGGAATGGGAGTGAACTCACGAGGTTGTGAGAGACAATAAACCATGGAGGAAAGGAAGGACTTGGTTTGTGTCTCCAAGGTGTGAGGAACACCCCCAAAGACTTCAAAACAAAGAAAAGGCATCAGAAAGAGGTCACGGAGATAAGAAAGAGAAAGACAACAGTAAAGGGAATAATATCACATCCCAGAAGGTCCCATCAACTGAGGAACCAAGTAAGCAAGGGCAAGGCAGAAGACAAAACCTTGGCCAATGTATTGAAAAGGACTGACCACAGGATAGAGTCTCCTACTTATTTTACCTTAAAAATAAGTTATTTCACATAGTTTATTTTACTTAGTTCTTCAGAAAGAGTGTTGTGAGAAATGACAACATAAGACTACTCAATATGATACAATATGTGGATCCCACCAGTAATGAACAGAATAGAAACAAGCCAATTTGTCCCATTCTGGATATATTCAACATTTCGTAAATATTAGTTTTGTACAAAATAAAAGTATAAATTGACTTTTTTGTTAATTATACCAATTTTAAAATTTGTAGTTATTTTTCATGAGTAGAGAAGTAAAAGAAAGGTTTATATAACAAAACCTACTTTGGAAGCCCCTCTATCAATAAAACTCCTTGGTACTTGAAAAATAAATTCCTCTCCAGTATAACTGAATTCTTTCTCTTCTGATGAATTCCTCATACTACAAGGTAGAAAAGCAGCTTCATTTTCCATTTTTTTTATTAAAAAATGAGTCTTGCATGGTGTCTTTATTAGTGAATATTTTTTACCATAGTTATTCTTTCATTTTCTTCATTCTGTAAAATAAAAAAGTATTGTAAGTGAATGTACTTTAAAATTTATAAATCTTGGACATTTTCACATAGCTAGATCTAAAATGTGCAAAATACTTTTACTATAAAAAATCTAAAAAATAGAAATATTATGTGAATTAGCTGTTCAAAACTGTTCTGAACCCACAGTTTTGGTCAAATTTGTGAAAAAACAAACCAGAGATTCGATGTTATTTAGAATTATTCTATACTCAGTTTTGGTTAGTGGCAAAGCCTTGGTATTCTCATGTTACCTGATTTCTTTGAAGTGTTAGGTAAAGCCATTTTATAAGAAGAGGATCAGCATGATAAATTACAAAGAAAGTCTGAATTTAAGTACACTAAGTTCAAACAAAGAAATAAACAGACTGAGCACAACGTGTTATATAAAATGAAAACTATCTCTATTCAAATCAATGAATGAAAATTGTGCATACTTGTTTCCTTGACACTACACAGTTGTCTGCTACTGGACTTGTGAACTGATCAACAGATTTCTTTTCCTCAAAGTAACTTTCTTTCAACTAACTCACTTGAGATCCTGTGTAGTAATGTTTAAATCTAATGTTTCTTACTTAATAAGAAACATTGTATTTACCTAAAAACCAAATAGCACTATCTACATAACTGGTTATTTTCATTCAACATTAAGGAAGCCATAACCTTGAGATATCATTTTCTCTTCCAGTGAAGAACACTGCTGTCATTGACCTTCTTGTACAACATGCAGCATTATAGCAACATTACCCACAGGTAAGCAGGTATTATCACTAAAGCACAGCAAAGGAACTAAGGCATTTAGAACAAAGTCAATTTAAAAGTTTTCTGGACCACATGTTTTGTGAAAATGGCATATATTTATGATAAACAAATAATTTTCAAAATTCCTACATTCATAGAATAAGGTACAAAATGCAAAGTATGCCTACATACCACACTTTTCCTCCCCTTCCATTTCATCCTTATCCGCAAGTTGATCATTAAATTTAAACTTTAGAACCAATTAACTTTACACTCTCAACACTGTCAAGAAGTATGTTAACTTTCTCTCATCCCTGTAAATATTCACACGCAACATGGACCTACAACTCAAACAACAAAAATCTTGAACCCTTCAACTATGACTTAAAAATGTAATAAAATACACTATAAAGGAAAAACCTTGTTGATATACGAGTAGAAAACTTAAATACATTTCAGCAATAAAACACAATACTCAGTAAAACTGTGTAATGATACACAAAAAGGAATCTTTTAATGATATTAGAATACATAATTGAAACATAAACCCTTTAACAAAGACTACAAGTGCTCATTTGAAATACCCTTTAACAAATAAAATTACACAGGAAATTAATCAAATGAAAGAAACAAAATGTTAGGTAAAACTCTCTGATAAAACTAAAACACATTATGATCAAAAATAAGGTTACACAGGGAAAAAGACAGGAATGATAACAAAATGGAAATATACACACATGCATATATACAGAACACTTTTATATTAAAAAAAAATGCACAGAATATACACATACATTCATGAAAATAAATATGAATTTACAATTCACACAGAGTTAATACAAGGTTCCACTCTTTCTCACCTTAACCTCACCAGCAGATTCTTCAGTGCCACCATTGTTTTGAAGATGGCCATTAGTTTGTAGATCATTCCTTCCCATGGTTAGGCTCTTCTTGGTGTCATCTAGCTCCACCTGCAAGTTGTGCACCTATTCCTCAAACAGTAATGCTTACACAATACTGTAAAATACTACCTGATGTTTCAAAAAGCAAGGATCACAAATCTCTTTTAGCCAAGTTTTCAAACTTCTAGTTGTGAAAAATGTTGATGTACTAAATATTATATTTACTCATTCCAACCATCTTAGTTTTAGATGATATAGCAGTAATCATACCATGTAGTGCACAAACTGTACTTTATCATACCATTGGTAGCTCATAAAGCAGTTAAACTGAGTTTTAGAATCTGTAACTATCATCTTCAACTGTACACACTGATGATGTATTAGGCAATATATCACTACCTCCAGTTGTTGTTGCTTTGGATAAATAAATGGCAATCACACAATGTAGTGCATACATTGTACCTTACCTTACCATCTGATAGATCAGAAAGCAAGGATTCCAACACTTTCAACTGAGTTTTAAGCCTCTCAGTCATCATCTTCAGTTCTATAAACTGATGATGTACTAGGTATTATAACTGTTAGCTACATTGTACAGTTATCATAGCCTTAATGATCAAGTAGTCCTGCCAATATCAATTGGAAAGTCATTTCCTCATCTGGATCATCTTGGACAGCCAGATAAGTCCTTTCAGCTCTTTCTCTCATATTGGATTAGTCAGCATGACATGAGAAGACATACTCATCTCCACTGACTCATCAGTTTCAACATCTGACTCTTGATGAAGCCAGTTTACAAGAGGTTCATCTGTGATATTCTTGTGCAGTTTATCAACATGCTCCATGTTCTTTCACATGCCTCACATTCACTCTGAATAATCAATGGAATAATCCGCTGGAGTACGAGACATACATCAGTCCAGCTGAATCCAAGCTGCTTCCACATACCCCTTTTCTGTCATAGAATGGTATTTCAAAGTTGTGGATGGGTGAATTCATGAGAACATCAACTAATGCAGACCATTAAACATATTTTTGTGGCTATTGTGATACATCTGCTCGTGAGGATGGACTATATCAACAGAAGGTAACATTTTATACAGTTTTGAGAACTGCCTGTTGAAATTGGTTCCCTGATCCATGTGGATCTCTTCTGTTGCTCCAAGCCATGATATACAGTGCTCTGTGGGTTCACTTTCCAATGGAAGATTAGTTAAAACACTGCACAGGTGAAACTGATGAATAGTATGTCCATCATGAGGATGCCAATGCCAGGTCCAAGGTTGGAGATAACCACTTTAATTTTGTGTGTGATAATTCCCAGACAAACCCAGAGATCTACCTCTCCATTTATATCTAGTCTATCACCATTTGTACAAATGAAATCAGAATCCAATGGTCTGAGTGGTAGTCTCACTTGGAGAGCTTAATATATTGCAAGATCTACCAATCACTCTTGTCAATCAGGAACTTAATCTCTCAGTCTTGTACTTTCACATGTACACACTAAGCTGGGCTGATCACCTTTTCATACAAGTTCTCTTTCATGCTCTCGAAGGTCAATGGCCAGGCTCAACTTGCACTCCATTAGTTTTTAAGAGATGTTTGGTAGCATTTAACATTTGTTGTTGGTTCTACTGGTCCTGTTAAGCCACCTACAATACACAATAGCCTTGCCTACTTCCCTTCTTGGCACAGTATGGGCTCTATTGATTTTACAGCAACCGCTGAACTATCAGTTGGAATAAATAGCCTTGCTACCTTTTCTGAACAGTAGAGTATTGAGAGGTTATTCACCAGTCTCCCAACAGACCATAAGCAAACCAGTAACTCCATTTATCCTGTCCAAGATGATGTCCAGAAGCAGGCATAATCAGCCCATTCACTGCAAACCAATGTGGTTGCATCACAGTGTTCATGGCTAGTTTAACCATTGAAATGGGTCAAACTGAAGTAGGTGGTGGAACCTGTATAAGATAGTCTATCTTAGTTGTCACTCTGGGCTTCTTCTTCTCTAACAACTAGATAGAAGCTACCACTTCAATTAAGGTGAAGGTATGCCTTCACACCCAGGTAGCACTCATGATCTTGCAAGGTAGTCCCTCAATGAACCTATCTATGAGTATGTCTTCCCAAACTGCTGCAGCCATCACAGGGTAAGATTTACTAGGCACAATGCACAGAATGTTCATGTAAGCAACCAGACCCTTGGTAGCATTCCTCTTCTGAGCTTTAAATTCAGCCAAATGGATCACACAGTTCTCCACTGGATTGAACCAATGGTGCAACATGGCCACAAGTGTGTTCCAGTCTCATTGTTGGACCTCCTCCAAATTTTCTAAGAAATTCAGGGATGGACTGTTTAAGCTCAGGATCTGGCATTACACTGCCTGCTCCTGAGCCCAGACATTAAAAATAGTTATATTCCTGAAATGCTTCAGAAAATTGTCCAGATCTTCCTTCACCACACCATTAAACATAGGAGCAAAAACTGCTTGGCGTCACTCACATATTACCTTCATTAGTCAAAACTGAAGAAAAAGTATAATTTGACAACCCAGCCATCTCATAATTATCACATATGATCCCTCCTGTATTGTCCCTCAAAGGCTCTATTCCCATCCTAACATTTTGATAACCTTTAATGTATTTAAAGAAATCCTTATTATCAATTTTTACATTTTCAGCCAATCTTTTTTTCATAGTTTGTTTGATGTTTTAATTTTCTGTTTGACCAGCTCTCTTGATCTTCTACAATTCTCAAAATCTCCACCCATAGCAGTTAATTTAAAATCTAAACTTCTTAATATTATATACGATGTCAAAGTCAAATCCCTTCCATGCCAAGATGGCACATAGGATCCGATGCTGAACTCTTGCTTCAATGGCACAAGCGATTAAGAACAGTGACACAGGATGTCAGTCCATTGCAGTTAACAACTGGTATGCATCATGCTGCAGAATAGACTGAAACAATTGAGATAAAGTATCTTGTTCAGGTAAGTTAGTGACACTAGAACATAAAGATATGCAATGTAAGTGTTTTATATATCATAATGCGTAATACAGCAAACTATACTGCTAATCTACAATGATTTTTGATAGAGAAATGGCATTGATTGGGGAGTGACCATGAAATCTAATTAGGCAGAGGAAGGGTTAAACATTTATTTTTAAAGTTTTCCATATTTTATCATTATCTACAATTAACTCACTTGCCTAATTCACAATATAATTCTTGTCTCATCCCTTTAAAATTTGCTTCTTTTGAATTGTGAAACAAAAATCTCATTATTCCATTATTAATCTCATTATTAAGTGAGACCTCAACATGGTTAGAGGTAGATCACAGATAAGTGGGACTTCAACATGGTTAGAGGTAGATCACAGATAAGTGGGACCTCAACATGGTTAGAGGTAGATCACAGATAAGTGGGACATCAACATGGTTATAAGTAGATCACAGATAAGTGGGACCTCAACATGGTTAGAGGTAGATCACAGATAAGTGGGACATCAACATGGTTACAAGTAGATCACAGATAAGTGGGACCTCAACATGGTTAGAGGTAGATCACAGATAAGTGGGACCTCAAAAGAGAGGAAAAAATGAACGATCAGCACTTGTGTAATGTTTTAAATCAACTACATAATTAAAATATAACATTTCATATTTATAAAATTAAAGGTCATCTATGGCTTTCACTTAAAAACACTACATGTCACATGTTTAGACACCTGAAGATGATGTAACAGGCATCAAAACATATAAGGTAATTTTTTTAAGTGAAAGTCATTAAGATCTTTAATAAAATTTTACTTGTTCAAATTTGAAACACTGTATTCTAATTATTTATTTGATGGTTAGAGGTTAGTTCATGGATAAGTCAAGTGGAATTTATAGGGTGTGACTGGTGCCATGATTGGGTTATGTTTGAGAATTGGCGTGTTTTGATTGGAACTTTGAGGAGGCTCAGAAAGATACAATATACTACATTTGCTGAGCTTGCTTATGCTTACTTGAGGATAAGTTACAGATAGCGTACAGGATGACGGACCTATTATGACATACATCTTCATGTCATTCAGAGCAGAACCTGAAAAAAACACCAAAGCTGATCTGACTAAATTAATGAAAATTTATTGTCCCAAGTGTGCACCAGAACTTCACCAATTTCCATGTAACTTGTGATGCAAACTTAGTCTCAAGTGTGCAACGGGACTGTTCTGAGGGTCATGATATCACCATCAAAACCAAAAAACATGAATCAGTAAATACCCTTCTCAAAATGGTTTATTTCTTTAGAAAAACTTTGCAGTCTTTTTATTTATTCTTTTTTTTTTTTTAAAGAGAACCAGGAGAAGATGAAGATAATTTCAACTTGTAACAGATATCATGCCACTTACCATCACAGTTATAAAACCAAGGTTCTCCACTATGGCTGGATCTATCTAAAAACAGAGAACACTGAGACCATGCTTCAAAAAACATGACCCTAGGAAATAAGATAGATGATGGGAGTTTACCCTGCCTGATTGGATATGCTCTAACGATAAATAAATATGCAACAAAGAGGGTAAAATAGCAAGAATAGGAGCAGTAAGACAGGAAATAGGTTGTCTTAAGGTGAAGATTGCTTTGAGGGAAGGAGAGAATAAGAGTGCTGGGTTTAAAATGGTACCTAGCTGCAAGTTCAGTTAGCATTCAGATATCTGTTTCAAATAAATTTGAGCCTTTGACTCCTTACACTGAAGGAGGAGATGAACAAAGGGATTATGTAGTTAGAGCTCTCTCATTAAGTATACTGATAAAGCTATTGATAGTAGAAAGCACAGAAAGAGGTTTATAGTGTGGTCCTTTCTGAAGTGCTCCTTCAAGCTACGTGAGGGAATGAATTACTTAGGCAATCTTATCTTGGAATAATAACAGGTGGGCTGCTGGTCTTGTGGGATAGTATCAAGATAAGGGTGAATTATATGCTACAGATGAGTATAAGCAAGCTAGATAACAGGATGTTTGAAGAAACTTCAATTCATTAACAAAACTTTAAAGTAAACTTGCAAAGTGGTGACAGAGCTTGGAAAATTGGGAATAAACACACTAAAGGACAGTAACGGCAAATGGAAATTGGAAAGATTTAGAGCATAAAAAAGTTGATTAATAGTTTTAAATACAAGTCAGTGAGATCTAAAAATGTTCATAGTAGAATCAAGAATAAAATTAGCTGCTATTATTTTAATATCAAGATATTAAGAGTAAATGGATGAATTCAGGGCCCTAGTTGAAATTAGAGATCATGATACAATGGGAATTATTGAAACTTGATTAGATTTGGTCAATACTGGTAATATGAATTATCTTGAGTTCTTAAGTTAACAGTGACAACTTTTTAAAGAGATGTGGGTGGCGTGGTTCTTTATATAAGGGATGAACTACAGCCTGTTAAGTTTGAAGAGATAAAAGATGGTAGTCAAGAGGTTGAACGATTGTGGGTTATATTCAGGGAGTTCAAAAGTAGAACGTTTTGAAAAGGAAACTTGATAAATTGGATAAACAGGGTCAAATTTAATGAAAGTACAATGTTTCACCAGGTTAACCTGGCATCATCAGGTACATCAACTACTGTGAATGAATTGAGTCTACAAATATATATAATACAGTGCAAGGGTACATTGAACTTTGATTGGGTAAATTTAAAAGTAACGTATGATATTTCTGGAGGGTATTTATTGATAGGGCTTGACTTCTTGAGGGTCAATGTCCGTAATCAACAAAATAGGAGAAGTACTATTTCAAAAATGTAAAATATTATAACAATAAAATTTATAAATTAAATACTGTAACTTGAAAATTGTAAATAGAGGTAAAGTGATTCACAGAAAATAATATAAAAAACTTTTTGAACATCAACACAGTTAAGTTAAAGTTAGAACAGATACAACAGTAGTTTAATTTTAAAATTCCTTACACAAGTTGCCTTGATTGAATTTTCATTTTGGATGTAACTCAGGTTTTATGTATAAAGCCTTCTTCCCTTTATCATGATAGATCTTTGCATGAAATGTAATGTTTGGAGGTTGAAACGGGTATTCTGCATGAAAATTTATTTCTATTCAGAAAGCTCCTTTGTTATATGGTGCAATATCGGTGAAAATCATACTCTGCCAAACTAGGATTTTGCTTTTTCTACATATATATTTGAAAATGATCTCACTGCTGACTTTCAAGTATGTTGTTGTTCCATTTGCAAACACCTTGTTGCTGATATTTCCAAAACAGTTTGACAGGACATCTTACTATAATGAATGTAGCATGTATGTCAGTATCTACATATGTAACCAAAACTCTTGCGCCATCTATTGAATGGCACCACAAACAAAATTCCATAAAAAATTTCACACTCTGGATATTCAAGTTTCTGAGGATTAGAAAAATAACTGTGGTATGTGCAACAACCATTTCTTTATAATAGAACACAATTTTAAATTAAAGTACTCGTCTCACAACAAGAACACAATTTTCACTAGGACTGTACATGAGAGTTAGATTATATCTTTATTGATGTAATTTTTATTATAGTACTGAGAAATTGGAGTTCTTAAATAAATTATTATTTTTTCAATAAACAGTACCACTTTTAATATATAAAAACATTACAGTGTATATCAGTAACATTTGTGAAACTTTTGAGCTCTGTACATTGGATGATTTTGATGTAATGAGTTGCGCCTGACTAAAGAACACAATCCAAACACTTTTTCCATGCAGTACTTCCCAGAAAATAAAATAAAAGTTTATACAAGGGGTGCTAAAATAATTCCTAGGGTGAAATGATTACTTTCCAGCAAAACATTAAGATCTCTTTTAACTTATTTTATCTAAAAAGGGTAATAGGTGATCTTAAACAAGCTAACACCAAACATGCTCTTATTAATATAATCAATGTAAATAATGAAAGCTAAAGCCTAACAACTGAACCCTGGGCAGACTGCTAGTAATAAATGGACTTTATTAAGAACACTTTAACTTCTCTCATCCAGCTTATCTACCATCCTATCAAATATTTTTTCAATCTCGATCTCAAACACATTCTTAGCTTATCTACTATGTACATCAAATCCACACCCTTTCTCTCAACTACATAAACAACATCCTTAAAAAAAAGCTAAATCAAAAGTTATTACCTTAAGATTTCTCTCTAATGAATCCAGCTTTGCTCCAAATCTAATATAACTTTATAATTTGATAAGCTGTATTACCTATAGCTTTTGCTATTTTCTCTATTCTTATAATAATTGTCTGCCAGTGTAACCACACAAAAGTTGTTTACCTAGAGCCTGAAA